ATTTGAAGAATTATTCAAATTCTTTGCGCGATGTGTAAACAACTTTGCTTTAAATATGCAAACACGTCTTATCACCACGAAGCTCGGTTTAAGACCGTTTGGGTTATATTGTTCCCATTTTGCTAAATTGATTGATTTTTCGCAATTTACATCAATTGTGCGTTACAAGTGACTATGAATATGAGAAAATTGTCAATTTTTCAAGGAAAAGTACATTTGGTAGTCGAAAGTCCCGTTAAGTTATAACGCAACGATCCTTAACTGATTTGAACAAGTGTTTAATGCTGAATGCATTCTTAACGGGCAAAAACTGGCCTCCAAATCTGTTACGACTTGTTATTAAGACGGCGTTGGCTTGGAAGAAGAATAATAATATTACCTCATCATCTTCATTGGCCACAAAGTCGTCATCATCATCATCGCTCAAGATTTTTCTGGGATTGTTTCTCGATACGGGTTCTTCATCGCTTTCCGACCCCAAAGCGTCAACGTAAGTGGCTTTTTTTCCCCTGGTTCGGCGCCCTCGCCCCATTTCTTCTTCATCGCTCGACGTTAGTCCGCCATACTGTATTCTAAATGAAGAATAAATGTTTAAATGACGCACAAAAAGCCGTCCAAAAATTACGTAAGGCCTTTTTTTAACCAGTCACGACCCACAAAAAAAGTACTTAAATTAGAATCATCCCATCATCCCAAAACCTCTTACGTAATTTATGGACCCCAAAAGGTAGAGAATAATTTACCGGGGACGCGATTTTTTCGTCGCTGACTCCTTTTGGCCCAGTTTCTTTTTCTTCTGCTTCGCTTTGGATGACCGTCCATAGCCCGAGAGATCGGATTCATCCGTCTCCGATTCGTCCCAACTGGATTTCTTTCGTTTCCGCTTTGGCGCTTCATCGTCAGTGTCATCGTTGATAAAATCCTCATCTTCAAACCTACCGGAACAAACCAAAACTTCGCTTGCCAATTAAATCCCAATTAAAGCACTCCAATCACCTTCTAGTTCTCGCCCTAGTCGAACGCCTAGTTGGGGCGGCTTTCCGCCGCTTCCTGCCCACATAATCGTCACTATCTTCGCTGTTTTCCGACAGTTCTTCCTCCTCTTCCTCATCCGAGTCATCGCTCGATCCCTTGAAGTCCTCATCGGATATATCTTCCTCTTCGCTATCAAAGTCCAGGCTATTCAGCTTGCGATGTTTCTTCCTGCAAACAACCGGGGCTAAAAAACGACGAGCACCAACAACGCGTTATTACCTCAGCATTTTCTTCAAATGCACAGCCGATGGCCGGTTTTCCTCTTCGTTCTTCACCACGCTTTCATCTTTAGGTGCGGGTTCCGGCTCTTCTTCCAATCCTTTGACGATGGTTTGAATGTCCTTCCCTCGCCCCAAGTTGCCTGCCGTATCTTCCGGCTGTTCAGTGTCCTCTCCTATCGCGTCCTTGATCATTTCATCGTATTCGTTGAATTTGTAGCTTTTCGTTTGCCTGTTTCAAAGTTGGATTATTTTCACTTGCTTTCAAACTAGTTTGGATCGCAAACCTGCGCTGCCTCAGCTGATAAATCGGCTCGTCGCTGTCGCTTTCGGACGCCGATCGTTCCGACTCCGATTCGCTCCAGCTGCCCGAAAGACCTTCCGATGAATGCCGGCGCTTTTTCTTCCGATGCTCCAAATGTGCCTTATTGGGCAGTACATTATTCAGACTGATGCCCACATAAGCCAGACGCTCTTTCCGCCGGTCTTCGATGGATTTTTTGCTCAGCTTCTTGTCGTATTCGACCAGTTTGGCCTGCAGACGCTCCAACAGGATAATGTGTTCGCAGGGCGGGCAAAACCAGTCTCCTTCTGGAATACCCAGAAGCGGTGGGCGCAAACAGGAACAATGCCACCCGTTATCACATTTGTCGCACAGCAAGATCCATTCAGGATGGTCGTTTTTCATACACTTTTGGCACGGCAAATCGTCGACCTCCTCACTATCCGACTCTGAAAGTTTCCATTGCATCGGGTTGAAAAACTAAACGGAAATTAGACGGGGAAACTGGCACCTTTTCTTGCAGTTCTGGCTCGCTTCACTGGCTGCCATTCTTCGTCGTCATCGTCCTCGCTCTCGGGCGAGAATTCGTGGTCGGACTTCAAGGGGCCCAGAGGAGCGTCGTCTTCGTCCTCTATTTCCTCATCATCCTCCTGGTTTAGTTCATTGATAAAGTCAGTTTTAAATAATATTTTATTTTCACTTACTTCCTCAGCTACTTCTTCGCTGTCTTCACTACTCGACTGCCACGGGCGATGTTCGTTAAATATTTGATTGGCAGGTTTTTCCTTTTTCTTCTTGCGCTTTCGCCCCACCTTGGCTTCCTCAGGTTCCGAGTCGAGGTCCACGGATTTTTTGCTCATTTTCCACGTCTCATCCTTGTCTTTTTTGCCTGAAAGCCTGCGATTAAACAACGCAATTTAGGTAAGGAAACTTCGCACCTTCATCCGACACAGCGTTGGTCGCGTACTTTTGCTGGGACTGTTCCCTGATCTTCAGCTGGGCAATGCGACGCGACTGTCTCAATTGAGGCCGCTCCTCACTGAATGAATCATCGCCAATTTGCAGGCCGAGCAACATTCCTTAGAGTCGGGGTATATTTAAATATTCGGCTAGTTCTTAGCTAAAACCACTCACTGCTATGTTTCTTCCCCGCCTTCTTCGCAGACTTCTTCGAGCTGGAGTCGTCCGACTCTTCAGCTTTGCTTGGCTTTTTTTTGGCAAAGCGGCCAGCTTTTTTCGGTTCCTGTGATTCTTCTTCGCTCTCCTTGCTGTCGCTGCTGCTGCCTTGAATCATTCATTGAAAACTGAGCCCAATTCTCAGAAAAAAAAACACGTCTTACCATGCAGCTGCTCTATGCGTTGCTCTACGCTCTTCCGCAGAGCTGCGTCAACTTGGCGGCGCCCTTTCAGCTTCATTCGCTTCCCAGGATTGTCGTCAGACTCCTGAGCCTTGGTAGCTGATGCTTCCAAACCTAGATTAACTTGCCAAGTAAACAATGCAGTTTTAAAAACAACCCGAGTTAATCACCTCGCTTGCGCACAGCCCTCATAGGTGAGGGCTTTTGAACTGAATCGGCAGGCGGCGAGGGAGAGTCTTTGAAGTCCAAGGAAAACGACAAGATGTTTTTCTCGGGAACCAGCTTAGCAGCTTCAGGTTCTGAATGAAACAGTGAACAGCGAGTTTTTAAACCCTCTTAAAGCTCTATTTACCTTCACTAGGTGGGGCGTTTAAAGTAGTCTCGCGCGGTCCATCGCAGCTTTCACCAGGCGTGAGTTCGACCATTGAAATGGGGCTGTTTTCTTCAACAGTCTCACTAGGAGAGTTGGTGATTGAAGACTCGGCGCTTGCTCCTGCAAGATTTCAATTTAAAAATCAAACCAGAAGGTTTTAAGCAATTCACCTTTCAGAGCTTTAGGCTCATTGGCAGTTTGAAGACTCTCAGAATCATTGCCCGCCACTGGCTGATCATCTGCCAAAGGATCCTGCTCTTGACTTTTCCCGTTGGACGAGTGCGGCGATCCTGAGTCTTTAACCACCTCTAGCTCTTCTAGATGGCCGTTGTTGGACACATCCACGATTTCCACCACTGGTGTTTGTTTGCCGTTTTCCTCCTCTTTGCCGCACGTATACGCCTGCTTTTTTTCACATTTTGGCTCATTAATTACAGCCTCTGGTGCTTCTTCAAGGTCTGCCGTTGGCTTCAAAGCCACCGGCTCTTCACTGGCCGTGATTTCCTCGCTATTATTGCCGGCTGTCGCCTGCTTGGATTCGCCGTTGCTTTGAGGCTCGGCTAAAACAACGCGCTTTATAGAAAAAGATCTGAACCCTATGGAAATTATCTTACTGTTCTCTGGCGCTTTATTGGCATCCAGCTCATCTTTAGCAGGTTTATCCAAAGTCTCCTCCTGCGCCTCTACAGCTTTTGATTCAAGCTCTTTGACCTGATCATGAGTTTCAGTTTCGGATTTTGTTGGTCCATTTTCAGTCTCTTCTGATGAATTGCCAGTCTGGCAATCCTCTCCACTTCCTCTGCCTTGAAAATACATCACGCCTTCTTCAATAATGTCCCCAATAATAAAACTCTCGTTGTCCGCTCCTGAGCCTTCGCCCTCTATTCTCATCACTGGCTCCTGGATTGCGCCCTCTAAAAATCAATGGGTTTAATTTAGTCTCTGTGCTGGCACCAGTTTCGAACCGGCCGCAACTTGCAAAGTTTTAACCAACAATGCTGGAAAATGGCCTATTATTACCTGCAACCGCTTCCTTGGCATTTATATCAGAGAGTGAAACTTCTAAAGTTTTTATTTTAAACTTACGAAGCACTGTTTCTTCACTGTCTGGCTCGGGGGATTTTGACTCAGGCGCTTCGTCTTTCGCAACGGCCTCTACAGGGGATTCGTCTTTTGCTGGCTCAATCTCCTACGGGATTTAGTTAGTTAACAAACAAACCAAAGCGGTTCTTCTAAAACTACCTTATTGTCCAAAGCCAAATCTTCATCATCCGACGTTTTCTTCGAATCAGTGTCTTGTTGGCCAGTATCAATAATCGGCTTCTCCGATAAACTGTTGCTGTCTTCATTGCCAGCCGAATCCGAGCTTAGTTTAGTCTCACCTTCGCTCAAAGTGGCGATCAACGAAAGCAACCCACCCCGATCCCTACGATTGCCAGTAGAGCGCAAAATTTTAGGCGACAATTGGGCGAACTTACTTAGCCACAAGCGTCCACTTCTCGTCATCCAAATCCTCCTTGTAGACCCTGATCTGGTAGTTTTCGTCGCTTTGAAACCAATAAGCGTGCCCAAACTTGTCCCTGCCCAGCGGCTCCGCTCTCAACTCCTTCGAGGACAGTTTATTCACTTCGATTTTGAACTTTGAGTTAAAATCAAACTGAGCTTCAAGCAGTTCCTAAATGGGGGTCGAAAAATTGGTCAAGCGCCCGTGGATTGCCAGTGGATTCCGTACCTTTAAAACTCGCACTTTAGTAGCCAGTTTCGCTTTCTTGTAGCCGAATCGTTCCACCTGCCAGGCTTCCAATGAGGAGAACGTGTGACAGAATTTGATGAGAAATTTCTCCCATTTTTCCGGCGGAGAGGCGGTTCGCTTAATTTTCCTTAGAAGCTTAATGTGCAGGTCGATCAGGTATTGTGAGACTAAAAGGCGAATGTTTTTTATTGGATGTGGTAGAGGCTCAAAATGCCCAAAGGGTCATCGTTTGAATGCGATTAACCACCCGATTTTAATTTCCTTCATCAATTTAATAGAGCTAGAAGATCGGGCGTGTGAACTTGTGAGTTTTCCGGCTTTTAGGGCTCGAGTGGCCTAAACCTACATGGAATACAGCAAGAATTTGTATTCCACAACGGCCTAAATGCTCGGAAAACTCGCAAGTTTCCGGCAAAGACCCAATTAGCCGGGATTAATTAATTCCAGGCTCACTAATTATTGTTGTTGTTTAAGGTGAGCTGGTGTACTTAGACAGTGGTTTACAGCAAAATTAGGTACCTTCATAAGTGTTCTCCAGCATGGACCGGAGCTCGCAAAAGTCGACATCCGTTATACCAATGAGTTGCCCGAATTTCTCGAAAAACGCACAAATAACAGCGAAATTGGGGTCCTCTTCACAGGAAGCATCAGCTTCAGACGCCATTACACTGACTTAATTTCGACTATTTCACTGTCACTACGCTTAATTGATTAATCGATCTCGAACACTTTCCACATGCTGATCCCACACTGTCGCACTGTATAACTGGAGGTTTACCAAAACATCCACATTGAGGTAAAATTGAGGATTTTCCTCAAACAATTAGCAATATCAACATCGGGAGTCAAGCTGACATGTCTTGACGGATGAATTGACATACATGACAGGCACAGACTACATACAATTGACGGGTAAAAGAATATAATAAATCGGCAACATTCGGCGGTATTTAATTATTGAATTTTTACGCATCTAAAAAGTTCTGGATAGTTTTTGTGCTAATTTATGTTGATAATTTACCTCATTTGCCTGCGCTGCTTAGGCTTTTTGCCCTCAAATTGAGCAACTGCTTTCAGTTCCGGTAATCGGGTTACTTCGAGCTTAAACATGGCGGCAAAATTAATTGATTGAAAATTATTATTTTTTAATTAGTTGCAGTTAAATATCAAAAACCCAGTCCAGTTAAGTTTGTGTTAAAACATTGTGATTTTTCATTAAAAAAAACTATCTGGCAAAAATTTGTTGGTCGACTTGTCCAAAAATCCTGTAAATCCGGAAACTGCAAGCCCCATAAATGTATTTGATTATTTTGTGTATCTGCGCATTTGAGGTTATTTAGGGTTATGTGTTCTGTTATGTCATGTGAAGTAAACTAAGATTTTACGCGATTTTATTTATGGATTTTCTCTAAAAAAACCACTTGATTAGTGCCCCGCAATGAATTTTCCCCGACTTCGAGCGATTAGGCACCAGGCCAGGGTAAGTAATAGGCTCAGCGAAACGAATTTTACTCATTTTTACCCTGTGGTAGGTTATCGCAAACATTTACAACTCCCGAGGGTTGAAAAGCTGCAAAAACACCCTCAAACCCCAGCTGGGAGCTTCCCAAAGAGTCGCGTCCACTGTTGAAGTGAAACCGGAGCAAACTGATGGATTTCTGAGAAAGATGCTGAATAAACTGCCCTTTATGAACATTGAGAGAATTGTAAGTCCTGTGGGTTGTTTGCAGCTGCAATAGTTTACTCTGATATGTTTGCAGAGAGCCCAAAGTTCCGCCTATTTGCTCTATGAGAACGTCGTAGACAAACTGGACTATGTGGAGTTGTTTGAGCGCTACGAACTGCCAGATACGTTTTTCTCCTGGTTTGCCATTACAGAGCTGCATGTTTGGATGCTCTGCGCTCGGGCTATGGCCGAAGGCGACTTGGGGCAATTGATTAGAAACTCCATAGTTGAGGCTCTATGGGTGGATGTGGCGAGACGAACCAAGCAACTAGGTGTAAGTGAATTTTGGATAATTTCCTGTTACCGTTTCTAAACTGCTGAATTGTGCAGGATGTAAACCCTGCGGCCCTGAGGGCTCAAGTGGAGGAGCTCTCTCATCAATTGCAGGCAACTTTTATTGCCTACGACGAAGGCATCCAGTCAGATGACATAGTTTTAGCAGGCGCGATATGGCGAAGGCTCTATCAGATGCAGTACGCCTCGCCACATCATGTGGAGGACTTTGTTAGATACGTCAGGCAACATGTAAGTAGATGATTGTTTTCCCGTTTTCTTCGCCACATTGGCAATGTATTTTAGATGGCCCAACTGGACCGATTAACCAAAGAGCAATTATTGGCTGTGCGACCAGTTAAGTGGGAACTTATCGATAAGATGTAAAGAGTTTTTTATCAATTGGCGTTTTTAATTAACCTTCACTCCAAAGCTTCCTCCTTCTCACATCTCCTTTAGCACGAATTTCGTGGAAAACTCTGCAACCTCAGTCAAAAGATAGGGACAAAGTTCTGGTAATACTGGTCAGAAGGTCTTCGCGGCAACGCGCGTTGCAGCCCTCTTTAAGTGAGGCGTCCCCTTCCCGGACAAAAAACCTACAAAATGCCCCCAAAATTACCGAGTTTAGCTGCAAATTGCGCTCAATTACCTCCAATACTGATCAAGCAAATTGTGGTCGGAGCGCATTCGTTGAGCCAAAGAGTCAAAACTCTCCGCAGAAAGATCACTAAGCCCATAGGCCTCCTTTAAGGAGTAAAGTCGCCTCCAGGCCGGGGTCCTATGGGAATATCGGTTGGCTTCAGTTAGATTAAAGTAGAAAGTTTCAATATCCAAAAGATCCTGCAAAGGCTTGCATCAGCTGAGTCCGGGCGAAAAAAACATCCTTACAAAACTGTCAGGATCCACGCTAATTATTTTGTAATTGGGGTTGTACTTCTGGTAGGGCGTCAGGCTAGCTCCATTGTACCCCATATTGTTGGGCCGCCCATCTGTTTTGCTGTAGAAAACCTTTAGGCCGTCGGTGTGAGTGTGCCCGAAAAACTGGCCCTTGATCAGATGGGAAAATCTAGGGAATTCTAGAATTAAGAGGGTTTGCTCAGGAATAGAACACTCACCTGGTAATCAGGGCGTTGTAGTTGGCTTCCCAAGGCTCAACGCACTCCTTTTCCCCCGGGAAAACATGCGAAATAATGTGTACGAATTGCCCGCGGCTTTCGGCTTCAATTAGCTGAGTTTTTAGAAACTCTATTTGCTCCCGAAGGAAGTTCGTCTCATACAGAAGCCACCTTCATTATGAAAAAATCTTCTCTATATAAAGAGTCGCTCGCAGCTACTCTACTTACCAATTGTAGATGTAGCAGATGTTGTTATTAAGCACAATAGCTCTGAGCTTATGGTTAATGAGCACCGAAAAATATCCTTGTCTTCTCACCGTTTCTTGCGCCTCTTCCGGCAGCCATTTGGCCCAAAGGTTCGCATTCAAGTCATAGAGCCAGCGTTGAGAAAGAGTTTCATTCTCTATTTGCGGAGGGGCAAACCTTCAACAGTGCAGAGTGAGTGAAGCAATTGAAGCTCAAATCGCGCCTAATGTAAATTGTACTCAGGGTTTGAAAGGGCAAAAATAATCCAGTTATGTTGGTTGTATGCGCATTAATCTTGCGAATTTTCTGGTGAAACCTCCCTTTCCAGGTAGTTTCTAAAGCAACAGCATCTGATTGCAGTGGCTCTTAAGCTACTTTACTAAGCAATATCATCCATTTTCCATAAAAAGGATTTTTTTTGTTATATATGATCTGTTTCTTCTGAACAGTCTCTAAAACTTACGCATTTAAAGGAGCCGCTTCATGGTTTCCAATCGCGGGCAGAACCACAACATTCGGAAATGCCTCGGCTAAGGCATCAAAAGTATAGGCGATTTCCTGCGAATTGTCCTCAATTGAGGCCTTCCAGATCGAGTGGTCGATGATATCGCCCGTAAAGTAAATCAGATCAATGTCCTGGCAAGGATTATCTGTTATCTTAGCAGAAAAACTCTGCATTTGGCTTCTGGGTACGCACCTTGTGGGTATTTTTGATGAAATTAAGAGTGTTTTCAAAGAGCCAAGGAGGAGTGTCGCAGTTATAGTCGCCCCATGATCCGGCGTCTCGGCCCCGAGTCGGGTTTCCCAAGTTAGCCTTACAACAGACTGGATAGCCGCAGTTTGAGACCCCATTCACCTCATAGTCGTGCGAAATGTGGAAGTCCGATAAATGGAGAATCTTCAGAGGACTTTGCCTCTCAGGGCTGGAGGTCTGAGAAGGAAACTTTGCGTTTTGAGCGTTTTCACGAATAATTTTGAGAGTAGTTACGTTGGGAAGTTCACTAGGGCCGCCTTCAGGCACCTCAATTCGCCAACTAAGCGCCGGATGGCTGTGATAGCAAACCTCCTTCTGCAGCAGAACTGAACAGGCGTATTCAGGAGTGAGAATTCGACTGTTCTTCACCACATACTCCAAAATGGGCTGGAAATTCCCCATCAGCATCACTTCATTTCACTCGCTCACTCCAACTTACCTTATTCACTTTGACTACTCGCTCGCAAAAGTCGCTAACCGTCCAAGTGTTGAGCGAAATATACAGGTTGCAGATGGCCGTTCCAACCACTTCCACCGAAATGGAATGCGTCTGGAGATTCCGGATTAGAGCCTGGCAAGCGCCGCATATGATTCGATCGGGAACTTCAAGGGCCCGAGTGTTTAGGTCTTCCAAAATCCCCGCAGTGCTTAGCAGATTTTTGAACTGTAAAACCCCCATCGGGGTGTAGCGATCGATTCCTAAGTGATTCGCAAATTGCTTTTCCAGCGTCTCTAAAAAACAGTGCATTTTCGTTTGTTTGCAATGCTCCATATTTTTTTAGGCGTTAGGAGTTTTGATTAAGCCCAGTGGCAAAAGAGAGTTTTGGAGGTTCTCGATGGAAAAGGTTCTTCCGCTTTTTTGGCGTTTTCGAGATATGACCTTTTTAACTTTGAGGTTTCCGCATCTTGCTTCCATCTCTTTAAAGGTTAGGAGCTTCCAATGAAACCCTATTAGTAAAATGCAGCTGCTGGGGCGAGCCAAAAGGTCATTAGGACTCAATGGATATTTCTCGCTGTTTCGTTAGTTAGAGCGTGATTTAATCTTCGAAGGTTCCCAAAATTTTAACGTTTTTGCTTTTATCTCTAGAGGTCCGAAAATCCACTTCAAAGAACACAAGAAATCAGAAAAACGGGCAATAGAGTCTTGAAGCTTCTTGATTCTAGTTCTAGATAGTTCTTAGCGTCTTGAAAGGGCAAGTGTGTGAAAATGTTTTGCGGCAATCATAAAGGAACGTTCCCTCTTTCCATTGGCGTATCAGACGCTTTTGTAGCGAGGCTGGTTTGTGACAAATATATTTTTAAAAGTCTTCTTGCAAATGCCAGATCTTATCGGTTTGAAAGAGCAAGTGCACTTGAATGGAGTCAATAGAGTCAATTTTGCAGCAATCATAAAGGAACGTTTCCTCTTTCCATTGGCGTACCTGGAGCTTTCATTTTCAGTCTGCTTTGTGAGAAATACATTGTTAAAAGTCTGTTTGCAAACGCCAGATCTTATCGGTTTGAAAGGGCAACTGCACCTGAATGGACAAAAATTCG